GGCTTGGCAGTGACTTGCTTTAACAAGTATGTATTGTTAGTGATTCCTTAATTGTAACAAAAGTACCATAGTAAAGTGAGACATTCATAGCAGGAGAAATGGAACATGGAAGTGGGGGTTCACAGGAATTCTGCTCTTTTGTTCTAAAACTGTCCTAAAAAAATAACTCCGTGAGTTTCTTCAAATGTTTATTTGGTATCTACATGAACTTTAGCACGTTAATAGCCTATTTTTTTTCTGAGAAAATGGTTACAGATGCGGGCAAAGATTTACACCCAAGAATGTGTCAGCATTATTCATCATAGATCTAACCTGAGTGTTCAATACTAGTCTAGAGAGAGAAAATAGCCTTCAATTCAATGATTATTTTAGCAGTTAAAAATGCTGTAGCCAGCATATGACAGACACCTGTAATCCCAGCTACCTGGGTGACTGAGGCAGAAATAAAATACAAGCCTGACTCATGTAGCAAGACTCTGCCTCAAAAAGAAAAAAAAATGCCAGGGATGTGGTGTGGTGTGTGCCTAATATCTGTGAGGAGGACCTAGGTATGGCCCTTGGTACTGAAAAAAAAAAAGTCAAGTATATTGAACAATATGAATATAAACCAATGACATGGTAGAAGAAAAACTAGGTTGTAAAATACATGCAGAGAAAATTCTTCACATTTATATGAGTCTGTTTTGGATTTCATAGTTTGACCTATGACCTCATTTTTAGTGACCCCTTGAAGGTAGAGCTTACCTTTCCTCTTGAGTGTGATTGTGCCTAATGTCTTGTTAGGAGTACAATATGGAGAAAGTAAAATGACCTTATGAAGGCTGCATGGTGGTCTCTTCTCTGCTCTTTGGGAAAGCTGACTGCCATATTTTAAGAACATTCAAGCAGCTCTATGGAGAGATCCACACAATAAGGACAGAACATGAGATAGTATTTGTTGTTTTAGAGTGCTTGTATAACAACAGCCAATGAAAGCAGGGACCCTTATCCAAATCAGCAGCGCCATAGTGAGAACTCTCTCTGACACAAAGCAAAGTATACAAGGCTGTGCTGTAACTAGGAATGTATGTGTAGTGTTGGTGAAGTGGACAACAGTGCTGTATAACTCGAGGATACATATCCCTAGAAAACCACCACGCAGATCAAGACATAAACTGTTTCCACTATCCTAGGAAATTCTCCGTGTCCACAGTCAGCCCATAGTTTGGACTAGAGAAACCATTCTCCTGATCAATAATCATAGGTTAGTTTTTCCTGCTCTTGACCATATACACGAACTCTTTCCATGTGTACCCTTCAACACCTGGCATCTTTCACTCATTCTTTTTTATGTTTTGTTTTGCTCTGTTTTGAGACAAGATGTCAGCATGCATCCCAGGCTGGTCTTGAACTCACTCCGCAGCCCAACTCACCATGAACTCAGTAATTCTCCTGACTCAGTAGCCCAAGTCGTGGTTTTAGAGACCTGTAACACCATACCTGGCTAAGGATTTGGAGGGGAGCTGGTTTATGTTTTGATTTTGGAGACACGGTCTCACTATGTAGCCTTGACTAACCTGGAACTTACTCTGTAGACCAGGCTGGCCTTGAACTCACAGATTAAATCCAGTGCTGGGATTAAAGGCATGTGCCAACACAATTGACATGTTTTTCCTTTTGAGGCAGGTGAGAATTAATAAGATTTTCTCCATTAGCCTCCTGAGTACCCAGGACTACAAGTGTGATCCACTACGCCCACCACATCATCACGATCATTTTTAAATTTATCCATGTAACATATATTTTGTTTACTTTCTCCTTTTATTGATGAGTGGTGTTCCATTTTGCACAAATATAAAACTTATCCTTCCCTGTTGACAGACAATTATATGGTCTCCAATTTCAGAATATTATGGATATGGTTACTATGAATATTCTCATACTGATTTATCTGTGGACACATGCATCCAATACTCATGAAATTTTTTTTCTTAGAACTGATGAGCCAAAGGGCATGTGTTAAAATGTGAGTTTTATCCAAAGTAGCAGTATTTCCCTTTCTCACTGCTAAGAGGTTTGTGTTGTTTTGTTTTAAGCATGTGAAACAACCCCTTTAAGGATGAAGAAAAGTAAAAGTTGGTCTTAATGCAAAATGAATGGCAACAAATGCGCAGCTTTCTGAACAATTTGTATGCGGCGAGAAACCCAGCCTGGGAGGTCTGCAGTGCTGACAACTGAACTTCGGGCAAATACTGTGATTCTAGTCATTGGTTTAGAAACACTTTCCGTCATTTAGATCAAAGGCTCATACACAGCTAATTCATGTGGGACCCTCCAGTCCCAAAAGGAGCACAAATTGCATGAAGCATTCTGCAGATGAGCTTTCTCATTCGTTGTGAGATCCAGCGTGTAAAGGATGCCTCCACGCAGAGTCCGTGTTTACCCACCAGCCCAGGAAGGTAACAAATAAAACATCTCACTGCCTAACATAGCTCACCCCCAGGCACTGCTTCAGCCCGGCTTCCCTTGAGCTCTGCTTCAAATCAACAGACCTGGGAACTTGGCTAATGATGCACTCTGGGGCTCCAGCTGTGCTGGGCATGAGGCTCTGCACAGAGCCCCAGGAGCCAGGCTTCCGCTTGTTCCAAGCAAGGGAGGTGGCTTAGCTGTCCATTCTGTTCCAAAGGTTTCCCGGGCTGCCCAGAGCTCAGTTAAGCAAAAATGATGGAGGTGGGAATGCCAACTCCAGTCTCAGCACCCTCAGGGGATGCCCAACGTGAATGTTCTTGTTCTATTATAAAAAGTTAAAACTGACAACGAACTAGTCATCCAAAAATGAGAAATGGTTAAATAGTAGCCCTCTGCAGAAAGATGGAACCATTATGTGTAGAAGGAGAGAAACGTCAGTGTGAAGCCTCAGAGAACCAGCCAGGTACCCAGCATAGGACCTTTCCATGTAGATAGGGATGGGGGAAGGGGGTCAAAACAAGACGGATGTGGATCCAGAGGGCTCAGAATACGCTGTTGGCAGCTCTTTCAAAACTTTCAGAAAACATTAGGCCTTGATAAACCATTAGTTTCCAGGGGACTTTTCCTATTATAAGTGGTCTAGCATGGGCTTTGGGAGAGTAATAAAGTGAGTTGAGTGGTTATTAGACCATTGATCGATTACACCCCATAAGAACCCAGCGGATCAAGTACCATTGTCTCCACTTTAAAGATGGCTTCAGCCAAGCAGGGTGGAACACACTTATAATCCCAGCACTCAGGAGGCTGGGGCAGGAGGGTTGTGTGTTTCAAGCTAGCCCTAGCCACATAGAATGGCCCTATCTTTATTAAAACAAAACAAAAAAAATCCTCTTCCTTAGTAGAGTTAAATAGTTTTCTGACGTTCCCCCAACTCAACCTGCAAAGTTGTATACTGTAATTCTCATCTATCCAGAAGACTAAGACAGGACTATGGAAAGCCCAAAGCCAGCCTGAGCTACACAGTAAGGCCTGTCTCCAAAAATAAAACATTAATAATAATAATAGTTTCCCCCAAGTCAACCCATATCTCCCTTTGCCAAGCCTTATTTTCTAGAACATTTTGACATTACAACATGATGCTGTCATCCACAAAGTTCACACCTGTGAACTGTGCAATCAAGATAATAATAATAATGTTTTAAGTACATTTCCTATTTCATGTTAGACGGCAGATTAGACATATCTGCTCTAGACTTCCCCAACAGCAAGGAATTAGAGCTGATACAAACTTTTAATCCCAGTACTCAGGAGGCAGAAGCAGGGAATCTCTGTGAGTTCATGGCCAGCCTGATCCACATAGCAAGATCCAAGCCAGCCAGGGCTACATAGTGGGAAGGAGTGGGAAAGACTATGTTATGTGTTAAAATTATGTTCTTAGGAACAAATAACTCCACTGTCAAGGATTTGCTTGTTTTCCTATAAGGCAATTCAACAGAAAGTCTCTTCTCAGAGGAGCACGGCCCTGAGCCACTACAGGTTCTAATGACAAGGCATGAGCTTGTATGATGTTGACTTTCCCTGCCTTCCTCCTCCAGGCTCCTTTTCATTTGTTTTCCAAGACTTGGTTTCTCTGTGCAGCCCTGGCTGTCCTGGAACTCACTCTGTAGACCAGGCTGGCCTTAAACTCAGATTTCTGCCTGCCTCTGCCTCCCAGATCCTGGGATTAAAGGTTTGTGCTACCACTGCCCAGGTTCTGACTCCATTTTTCTATTGTCGCTTTTCTTGCTTATCCTGGTATTTTTGGTTTTTTCTTGCTTTGCTTTTGTTTTTTAAGACAGCATTTTACTCTATAGCCCAGGCTAGCTTGGAACTCACTGTGTAACCAGACTAGCAACCCTCCTGCCTCAGCCTCCTGAATGGCAGAATTTCAGGCATGCACCACTGGGCCCAGCATTTGGGTCTTCCTGATAGGAGCAAACTGAACCCTTAGCTGCTTTGCCCTTATTAAACAGTGAAGGGCATGACTTTTCCAGGGTTTGTAATCAGCAAGCCCTCATTTCCGTCCCACAACGTCTTGCCGAGCCTTTCGCAATTATGGCTCATTTCTCTAGGTTTCCTATGGCAGGCATCGGAACAGAATTAAAGTATGAGCACGTGCAAAAATAATCTGCTTCCCAAGATAGTAAATGCTGAGAAGTTCTATATTAGAACACTCCCAGTGCTGACTGGCTGGGGCATGATTACCCTAATAAGCTTAGAGCTCCACTCGCCATCCACATCTGTCAGGGCAGGAGCAAAACACAGGTCCATAATCCGTGAGCCTGGGGCCCGTCAGAACTGTCCCGCTGCTCACTAACAGCAGAAGCTGCAAAACTTAGGACTACGGCAAGTCTTCCTCTTCATCGTGGCACGGGATCCAAGTCTAGGAGTGTGTACCATGGACTCAGTTTGGACTGGCGTTGCCTGGCTAGACTAGCCAGGGAGACTTCTGTCCCCAGTCCCGAGGATTCTCCAAAGACTGCGAAGGGAGAAGATGGGGAGAAGCTGAAACAATGGGGTGCATGCCATCACACAGTGTCCTTGTCAACAGCGTGGCCAAGAGTGGCTTTCAGTTTTTTAAGAAGCCCAAAGCAATTTTGCCAGAAGGTCAGAGGGGCAGGCAAAAATGTCCCATCCCTTTGCTGGTTCAAAGTTCCACCTCCTGTGACCCTGGTTGGGAACCGCACCTGGGACAGAGGCCAGCAGAGGAGTCAGCAAGTTCCAAGAAGCCCCAAACCATGGCTGAAGGTCTTTGTCAGCTCACAGAAGATATGGAAGGACCGACTCCAGAAAGTCAAAGATTCCAGCTGAACATTCCACAAAGCCGCACAGCTGCGGACATGTCATTCAGGACAGATGGCTCCCTCGGAATACAAGGAACAGATTCTGCTTGGCGAGAGAGTGAGGAAAACATGCCCCAGGAGACCTCAAAATGGGACAACAAACCAAGGTGCCATTGCTACCAAACTATTCCTGAGTCAAAAGGCCGAGTGGACTTCCCCGAGCCCCTGGTAAAGGCCCACCAGCACACATATGCCTATCTGCACGCTAGCCTCTCCAGATACGAGGCGATTCTGCATCTCGTCCAGCAGGCCAGCCACACCCGGGAGCTGTTACAACCCATGCTCAGCTTCCTGCTGCTGTGTTTCCAGGAGGTCAGCCAGCTCCTGGGAGAAATCTCCAAAGATGGAGAAGTGCTCCTCCAGGAAGTTAGAGGGGATCTGGCCTGGCCATCCAGGACAGGTGAGCCCTGGGAACAGCCAGACCTCCTGCAACAATTGCTGCAGTACACAGTCAACAAGCTGCAGGTGGTCCACAGCACAGTGGCTGAGCTCACTGGGACCTTGCTGGAGAGCTCCAGCGGCTGTCTCAGCACTGCGGCTAGCCACCTGAAGGGTAAACTGAGCACCCAGAGAGGTATAGACGAAGGCCTCCTAAGGGCCCTGGGACAACTAGAGAGCCTGACCACTGGCCACAGCGACCCTGGGCTGCCGGGTCCACCCTTGTGCTCTGAGGACAGTGGCATCGGTGCCGACAATGAGTCTGTGCAATCCATGGAGAAGCTGGGCAAACAAACCAGCTGGGACTTGGCAGCAGAGCCTGGCGAAGGGAAGCCAGGGACTGCACCCCAAGTGGAAGTCAGGGTGGCAGGGCATGCCTGGCAGAAAGGTCCATGTTGGACAGGTTCAGACAGACACCAAGACTGTCCCCTGTCGAAGCCTAGGATAGCGAAGGTTCAGCCTGCGGCACAGGATAAAGCCAAGCACTCTCGTGCCTCCAGCACGAGCTCAGAACCAATCACCTCCAGGCCTCCAGAGGCTGCCAAAAGCCTTCTGCGGAATTCCCTCGGGTTTGAGACCCCGGTGCAAACACATTTTTCTCGGAGTTCTGGGTTGGTGGACGCTCCATCCCTGAGCGAAGATGAGGACAGCAGCCTGGAGGAGGAAGATGAAGTTTGCAGCACGGATCTGCATGCTGAGCAACAGAAAGCATCACCTCCAAGACCACGGTCCTCACCTCCCACCCGGGATAGCCTGTTTCAGCCATATTCCAGGAAGCTGAGGAGCCCCCAGGCTCAGGAAATGATTCTGAAGATGAAAGAAGCCATCAGTGAAAGGATCAAGTTTGTCCCTGTGCCTTCCAGACCCCAGGACTGGGATGAGGAGGAGGAGGAGGGGACAACAATAGTCCCTCCAAGACCTAACACAGCCTGTGGCAGCAGGAGGGCCCCTGAGAGACAAAGGAGGTCACAATCAGAGGGAAGTCTTAAGAGCCACGTGGAAGACCCCACCCTCCAGGAGCTGAAGAGGGTTCAGACAGACCTCAGTAGGAGGCTGGAGGTATTCTATGCCCTGGGTGGTACACGGCAGGGGCAGAACAGGGAACAACTTCTGCAATCCAGGACGTCAGTGCTGTGGCCCCCTTCCAACTGCAGGGTAAGTCCCGGCAGTACCATCAGCAAGTTCAAGGCCTCCCTCACCAAAAACTTCAGCATTCTGCCCAATCAAGACAAGAGCATCTTCCAAAGAGGTGGTCACCTCTCCGACCGTGAGCAGCCCTGCCAGAAGAAGGCTGGAAGGCTGCCAAATGCCATCTTTTGTGGTGAGAAGAACAGTGGGATTCCCAGGGACACTGAAGGGGACATCAGGGACTGTCCCACCAGGACGTCAGTGAAGAAGCTCATTGAGGCCTTCAGTCCCAATGAAAGTCTGAGGATGCCAAGGGACTCCAGGAACTTGGGGTCAAGCCCCGGCCTCAGAAAGTGGGGGGTCCCTGCCATCCCTCCCAGATTTCCTATATACAGGGGGCTAGCCCCTCTCTATGCTAAGCCCCAAATTTCTCCAGCAGCAGGCAGAGAACCTCTCAGGGTGAGCATGGGCTGGAGGCCTTCTGCACCCTTTCCCCCCTTTCCCTCCCTTCCTACAGCAGAGGCATCCAATAGTGAGGACAGCAGCTGGGAAGTGGAGGAAGACCTAGAGAACCTCCCCCCACCTCCTCTGGAAATCCTAATGGACAAGTCATTCACTGCTCTGGAGCACCCCGAGAGCAGTCAGCCAGCACGGAGCCCAGTGGACGAGACCCTGGTACCAGGGCTTCAAGAAGCTGGCCCACCAAGGAAAACATGGGCTTCCCCCAAGCTGAGAGCCTCCATGAGCCCCATGGACTTGCTCCCTAGCAAAAGCACTGGCAGCTCCCTAAGGCTGCACAGCACTGGGCCAGGGATCATCAGGAATGTGGGCAATTCCAGAAAGCTGACCTTGGGCCTGAACTCCCAGCAAGCAGTGAGCTCAAGCCCAGAGGCAGAGGATGGAGCTCAGATTCAGGTACCAGAGGAGGACGCTGCGAGGCTCTCTGAACGTGGCCAGAAGGCAAACCCTTGGCACCACCCTAACCCCACATCTGGGCAAAGCAAGACCTGGGAACCAAGCCTGGCCTGCTCTTCACAAGGTCCACACTCTCCAGAAGCATCCAGGAAGGGTCCAGAGAGAAGCCCTCCAGGGATCAGGAAAACCTCTCCCACGAGAGCACAGAGGGCATCCCCAGGGGACAGGAGGCTCCAGAGCCTCCCCTCCTCTCGTGGATTGTCCCAGCCAGGCCTCCCTGCGGTTCTCAGCTCCCCTAGCCCACCTCTGAGCCCCAGGACACTGAGCCCACCAGCCATAAAGAAGTCAACTTCCCCACCATGTGGATACCTGCAGCTTAACCAAGCCCAGGAGAGCCCACCTGTCCATCAGACAGAAACAAACACTTCTTCCTCTGCCTCCTCATCATCTCCCTCAGCGTCTGCCTCTCAGGGCTCCAAGGAGAAGAGTCACTTTGAGGATGGTGAAGCCACTATGACTAAAACACCCAGGAACAAGTGTTTTATATTCTGCCCATCTGCCTCCTCTCAGTTTGAAGCTAAATCGTCATTCTCACTATCCCTTCCAAGGACGCTACCAGAACCTGGAGACCCCAACAGGGCCCCAACAGGAGGCTGGAGGGGCAGCTCAGGGTCACGACTGAGGGCAGATCCGCAGAAGAGAACAACTCTGAGCACTCTCAACCCCTTGCCTTTCGTCAGAAGGACATCTTCAGAACGCCAGCGCCAGCAGGCTCACCCTCTTCAGCTGCCCGGCTGCTCTTGGGAGTCCCATCCTTGCCAAAGCAGGTAAGAGATGCCTGGCCACCACCCAAGCAGCCAGGGTGGGCTCTTTGTACTGTCTAGGGTAGTGTTTTTCAAACTGTTCCAAAGGCAGACACAGTGGGGAAAAAAAGAGATGAGATGCATTGGCCAGGTCTCCCCTTGACCATGAACAACTGCGTTTTCAGCCCTGCCCCAGTGGCTAGCTCACTGCCTGTCTGAGCCCAGAAGCCAGAGTCTGTTCTCTCTTCCCACAGAAGGTCTCTAACCATCAGGTACCAGATCCCTTTAAACTCTCAAAAATTTTGAGAACCCAATAGTTTTTACATATGTGAGTTACAACTACTATTTTTTATCATAAGTTTAAACTGAGAAATATTTTAATATTTACAAAGAATATGCCCATTCCATATTCACACACAAAAAAAGTGTGTTGTTGTTGTTTTGAGATGGGGCTGGCATTAAATGCACAATCCTTCTGCCTCAGCCATCTGAGTTTTGGGATTACAGGAGGAAGAGAGGGAGGGAAAGAGAGAGAGAGAGAGAGAGAGAGAGAGAGAGAGAGAGAGATTTGATGAGAGTATTGCCATCTTGCATTTTGCAGACTTGTTGGTATCAACTGGTTTATTCTGACAGCTGGACTCTCAACTCTGCTTCTATAGGCCATACTGTGAATCCATGGATTCAAAACTCTCCCCACATTCCTAAGAGTGTGGACCTTCAAATTACGATGAAAATTGTAACACCCCCCAGAAATGTCACTGAGATACCTAGGGGGTCCATAGACCCCATCTTAAAAACAGGTGGTCCTGAAAACAGGCAGAGAAATAGTGGAGTGGACTTCCCAGAGCCCTGAGGCCTTGGCTCCACTTCTCCACCAGTTTCCAACGTCTGTAGGATGAGGGTGTTCACGAGCACGAGCATCCAGAGCATGAGCTGCCCTTCCTGCCCACGAGAAGACTGAAAGCCTAGCATGCCTGTATCAGCAGAGACAAGTTGATCCATGCTATGGGCCCAGCTTGCAGGCAGTTTGAGCACACAGCCAAGGGGTCTGGGAGATAGCAGAACCATCCCATGGGCACAGAAAGGGCTCCTCTTCTTGATTGGTTGTTTAACAGAATACCCAGGGGTGGGTGTGGGGGACGTGTCAACCCAAGGTCTATTAGAGAAACACTCTAAGGACGACTGATGTAAGATAAGACAAAGCCCCGACAGCAGCGCTGGCTCCGTCTGCAGTACTCACGGTCGCCGGGGTGATGTGCATCACGGGCCTCACGATGTGTCCAGGCATAAATGGTAAATTTTTTTTTACAAAGTATTCAGCAGTCAGTTTTAAGTAAAGATAGTATCTAGGGAAAGTTGTGCATTGTAATAGTTCTGTAACCTTCCCTAGCCACTTGAAAGAAATGAAATATTGATTACTTTTGAGAGAATCTTAACGTCACACTGCCCTTTTCTTAAATCTAAAATGCACTTTCTACATGGCAAGCACTCTGGCTTTCAGCTAAGAACCTCGATAAACACTACCTACTCTGTTATTAGATTTCTAAACTGTGCCCTTCAGGAGAAGAGCTTGAGAGAACAGGGACAATAAAGAGGCACTATTTAAAAACACCAACATTTTAAAGCAGCCGGGGCATAAAACTGCTCAAGAAGAAAATAATGCCCAGGCTTCTCCTCCAAACAGGGCAGCCTAGAAGACTGTTTTACGTTCTGAATCTCAAATGTGTGTGTGTGTGTGTGTGTGTGTGAGAGAGAGAGAGAGAGAGAGAGAGAGAGAGAGAGAGAGAGAGAGAGAGAGATTTGTGTAAGGCAAGGAGGCATACTTGTAACTTGAAAGCAGAGTCTGTTCAAGGTCAAGTTGAATCACTTACCACTTGCCCCCATTCCCCTCCCTTTGGGTGTGGCTACACCCTGAAGTCATTCCAAAGTCTGAAAACGCGAAGGGGTAATGCCTGTCTCCCACCAACCACCCTACACCAAGGTGTGCCTTTAGCATGTGGAAGCTGAAGCCCATCCGCAGTAAGAGCCCTGAGTCTTTGCCTCTGTACATACAGGGCACAAGTATAAATTTCTGCCATTCTGCATATCAAAGACCCATACCAGGGGGTTAAGCATGGTTTCACCAAGACCACACGACAAGCGCTGGAGAACCAGATAGTGCTTCCAAAGCAGGGGCATGCGGGGATACGCGAAGTCACACCCATGTGTCTTATAGCAGGCAGACTAAAATGCCCTGGAGTTGTCTCTGACTTCATTTCCATTCCTCCACTCTAGGCACAAGCTGTTTTGTGGGAAAAGGATGATGTCTGTATCCTCCTGTTCTTGGGTACCTGGGGATTGGGAGCAGGCCTTGGCAGCATCCCCAGGAAACTCGGCCACTGACCTTTGATTCTTTGTGTGTATGCAGAATCCCCAGGTGAAAACCCATCTCTAGCATCAGATATTGGAGTCTTTTAAACACCCCAGAAGCCTCTACCCCAGCGCTTCTCAACCTCCCTGATGCTGAGACCCTTTAACACGGTTCATGCTGTGGTGACCCTCAATCATAAAATTATTTTCCCTGCTACTTCATAACTGTATCTTTGCTACTGTTATGAACTGTATGTAAATATTTTAGGAGATAGAGGCTTGCCCAAAGCGGTCGTGGCCCACAGTTTGAGAACCAATTCTTCTCATCACTGCCTGGTCCCGATTGGTAAGAGAGGAGCATTGTGCAAGTCCCATGAGGTGCTTGGCTCAGGCTGCCCAAAGGCCAGCAGGGCAGCAGGTGGCCAGTCTGTCTCCCTAACAGTTCCAGGAAGGGAGAGAACCTCAACCGCAGAGCGATAGCCTGTAAAATTAGCAGGCACCTGGCCTCGGCTTTTCGCAAATAATGGAACTCAGGTGGAGCTGAGAAAGAATTTAGATCCAATTTTCATGCCACCAGATCAACCTTCACAGAGCAGCACGGTCTCCTTTCCCTTCTGCCAGCCAGGAACAAAGACTAGGGCATGGATAAAACACAACCCGTGTGTGCTTCCTAGTCCCTCGGGGTCTCAGGAGAAACAAAGAGAGGAGGCAGCAGTGAGCTGTAGACCCTGAACACCTAAGGTAGAGCCCCATAGCAGCCTAAGACCATCACTGGCTCTAAGGCACAGTGGGCGCCTTGATCCACAAACATACGCATGTGTGCCGCTCTGTGCGTCCTCTTCGCTTCCCACCTTGGCCTTGCTCATATCCAAACACACGCTTGTTCACTGGTTTGACATCCCACGTGCAGAGCAAGCATACTTCATTATAAAGGGCAAGAGCGTGCTGTCATGAGCAGAATGAAGGGCCATATGGGCTATGCAGGTGGGAGGCAGGGCTCTTGTCCTGCTTTTGAAGTGACCAAGAGCTCTAGCCAAGGCCCAGTTCTCTGAGCCTCAGGTACCCAACGACTGTACAATAGTTGATCCCTAGAATCCCTCCTGGGTACAACTTCGTATAACACAGCACCACAGAGACAGATTCCCATCATCCTCTGAGCATCTACATGGGAACTGTGCACACAGTTTTCCATTTCACCCAGTACTGGTACCTGTGAATCCTCGCCATCTAGGTCTTATTCTGATTTTCAGTTTACAAAGGAAAAAAATTCAGACTCAGTGGAACTGGTTGACATGCAGCAAGGCACACAGATGGCAAGAACAAGAGCCAAGATTTCAGATCAGGCAGCCAGACACCAGCCTTCCCTAAGCAATCCTGTGGCCAGCCTGCCAGCAGCCAGCCCTGGGTGGCTTTCAGAGTTCGTCCTGTCTACCTAGGCTTGTTCCACCCTTTGTCACAGCCACGTCCCATTCTCTCAATGCGTAGCCAGTTAGAATCGGCGGTCTGTGAGGGTTCCTCCTCCTTTCGCGGCCCTTAGGCATGGCACCCAGCACTGGGAAGCTCTAGTCTAACCAAACACTGGGCAAGACTGGGCCAAGTGGTTCCTCTTTGATTCTATTCAGGAAAAGAATGACAATTGTACAAAGACGAGATGATTTTTTTCCCCTTGCTTTTACTGTTGTTTTTAATTCAAGCAACTAAGCCTAGCTCTTTATTAAACAAGAAATGCATTAGAAAAACAAAATTAAACTAAATAAGGGCCCAATTCCCCCAGGCCTGTTCAGAGAGCTGCAGGAATCTAGGCATAGAGGAAAGAGCATGAATGAACCTGCTGGGAAGTGCTGGGAGCTGGTTCCCTCCACATCTAGCTAGACCAGGAACACAAAAAGGATAATCTAGCCTGACAAGTGTGAAATGGAAAGGCAGGGGGAGGGGAGGGGAGACAGAGGGGAGTGGGGAACAGGGAAGGAGCGAGAAGGAAGAGCAGAGGAGTGTCTGATCTGTCACTGTACTTTCTCCTGGCAGTGGCAGCAGCAGCAGCAGTGAGGAGAGCCCCAAGCAAGAGCCCCCACCTTGGATTAATTCCTGTGCCCCAGAATTGCAGGGCAGCGGCACCAAGTGGGCATCTCCTTTGGAGCTCTGTGTGCTGGGTCATGGGCTGCAGCCAGAAGCTCGTATCAGCCGCAACCAGGACAGAGCCCAGCCAGAGTCACAACACTAGCAGAAAGAAGTGGCCTGGCACGTGACACACCGATGCCGGTGACGCTAGGACATGTGAAACAGTCGTGAGGTGTTTGCACTGCTCCATGGATGGTGGGCGAACCGACTCGAACTGCAGTGTCTTGGAAAGACCTTGAAGATGCTCTGCCTAGTGGGCTGCAAAGTCTTCAGCAACAATTGGATTCACTTCGCAGCAGAGATCCTGCTTTGCCTGAAGTTTAAATGTTAATGAAAACCTTAGAGCCTACAATAATACCCTTTATCTTTTCAAGAGCTGGCCTTAATTAGAGGGAAAATATATTCGTTCTTAGAGGGCCACGTGATAACCAGTGGTGATGACACCATTTAAACCACAACCATGAGTGAAGTGGTAGCCCCTGGATAAGAAAACCAAAGTTGTGGGGAAGCGACCCCAGGAGGGCACTGCCCCGCAACCAAGGCTCTTGCTGGAGCTCAGACAAATGAGAAGAACAAAGCACAAACAGGTACAATGTGGGTGGCCTTGGACTCTGCATTCTTCATTAAACTCCATTGCCTTTGGTTAATCTGTCACTGAACCTGCCTACAGCATAAGAAGTCATACAAACAGGAGGACAAGCTAATTTTTTTATTTGTCTTAAGGTTAAGTGGCATGATGGTTAACGTTGTCAACTTGACAGAATCCAGAACCACTGAAGAGACAAGCTTTTGCTCACGTCTGTGAGTGATTTTCTAGGTTGAGTTCGATGAGGTAGGAAGCCCCGCCCTACTATGGTTGGCACCTTTCCATGGGGGTTGAGGGGTTCAGATCCTGAACCTCAGAAAAGAGGAAGAAAACTAACGACCAGCATTCATTTCTTCCTGCTCCCTGACTGCGGATGCAATGTGACCAGCGAGCGACCTCCAGTTCCTACCACCCCATGATAGACTGCACCCCTCGACCTTTGACGCCAGGATCAACTCTCCTCCACGAAGACGCTTTTGTCAGGCTTATTGTGTCCCATATGTTAGCAGGGAAACCAATTACACGTGGTTTGTTTCAACAACACAGCATTGAAGTCTTCACTAAAAGCTTTGTTTAGAAGCAAATTGCTCCTGACACTGGAAAATGAGGCAGGTTAGAACATCCATCCCCTCCCACCCACACCTTGCTTCTCCTGTTCATGCCCACTTGTGGCACTGAGACGTTTGGCCTCAGTGTGTATCAAATTCTCTGGCTGAGCTAAACACCCACACACTCTGGGTCTGAGCAAACACAACTGAGCCTCCCAAACAAGAGGCCTGTTCTTTGAGCTGGGTAGGGGCCCGAGCCCAGAGATAGGGAGGGTATGAGGCATTCTCACAGACCTCCCCACCCCCAAGATTCTTGCCAAGTTTATTCCTAGGTCATCTGCAGAGAAGTTCTGTTGGTGCTGGAAGTAAAGCCAAGGAGAACCACTCCTGCCAAAAACCCTACTTCTTCCAATAAGCCAGATACTTGCTGCAAACCCTGGAATTTTTCCATCCGGAGCTGTGGAGTACTTTCTATTTAGAAAAGAATTTGCAGTGATTGGGTGATTCAATGCCTGCTCAGTGGGTTGTCAAAAGACAAGAATTCTCACCCACGGGTACAGCTAAGCAGGCTCAACTTCCCAGATCTGCCTCCAAGCTGAGGTTTTTCAGTTTGAGAAAATTACAGACCTCAAATCCTTTTTTGTTAAAATAGATCGTGGGCTCAAGCACATGTTATACTGGGTCCTGGAGCCTCCGCCTCCCTCCTACTTCTCCCTCCCCAGGATCAGGCTTGTGAGTCTGACTACGTGAATCTCACCTGACCTGTCATGTGTTTTAAAACGAGAGTGGCAGGGCTTCAAGGACCCCCCTGAAGCACCGTTGATGAAATCACCCGGAGGCACCGTGCTCACCCCTGTTATGCAGGGCTACTGACTCGTGTTTGCTCGTGGGGCTGTGTTGACACCAGGGCAGTACCTGAGCCACAGGTGTAGTTCTGGGATGAGCCTAGAGTGTGTTGTCTTCCATTTGGGTACCACCCTAAGTGGTTGGGAGGGCAGCTTGGGAAACACAAAGGCAGGGCTGAGGAAGCGAAACACCTCTGAGCAAGCAGAAGCAAAAATGTTGGTAGCCTCTGAAAGTTTACCCATATGTGAGTCACTGTAGGCACCATGGTTAAGGACCTAAAGAAGTGATTCTCAACCTGGGGGTTGCAACCCCTTTAGAGGTCATATATCAGATATCCTGCATATCCGATATTTACACTATGATTACTAACAGTAACAGAATTACGCTTACGAGATAACAATGAAATACTTTGATGGTTGGGATTCACCACATCAGGAGATATGAAAGGGTAGCAGCCTTAGGAAGGTTGAGAAACACTGGTTTAGAGGAAGATACCTGGGGATCTTATGAAACAAGGCAGAGCTCCGACTACTGGGATTGCATAGACACATTCTGAATGAAACTGGGGTGTGGTGGTCTCTGTAAGCATCACGGCTGGCAAGAAAATGATCCAGATGGTGTAAGAAAGAAATCTGGTTCCGCTCAACCAGCTGGTTAGTCAACCAACGCTTGGTCAAACTTTGAAGTCTGATGCCAAGTGAATTATTTTTTACAGTAAAACTTTGAACAAACTTTCCCTCATGACAATTATCACAACAAAGCTTTAGGTGTGGCTACATCAAAACTCCTTTGCAAAGTACGTTCTTTAGCAAAGCCCCTTGTGAACTTCTCTACTAGAATGGGTTCTGTTGACTGAGAAACATTGCTCAGGAGTCTGGGCCTAGAGAGAAAGGGTTCTCAATAAGCATCAGAATGGATCCTATTGACTGAGAAACGGTGCACAGGATTTGGGGGGATTTGGGAGAAGGCTGGCTCCAAACACTAGCCCAAGATCACCAGGTCAGCAAACAACACTGACTCCAACCAGCATTTTTTAATGGATTTTTTCCATTGAAGAAAAAGGCCTGGGTGTTTAACAATTCTGGTTTCTCTAGTGCTGATTCATGAGCCTGTGGACCTCTTGCTTTTGTACATTGGGGTACTTGTGGGTATAATACAAGAGGATGTTTAAAGATCATAGCTTTGGAAGCCCAAATGTAAAGGCAAACCTGATAGTCCTGGGGAAGGCAGATTACCAACTCAGGCCTCCCTCATCAAACAGCCCAACTGTAGAAGTTCATTTGTCACTGAATGTCCCTTCATTAGTCACTGAATGTCCCACGGCAGTGATGAGAGCTAGATGTGAGCAGCCTGAAACCAGGCGACATGCTGTATCATAGAGGGTCAGCACCCCAGACAACTTTCTGGAAGAGCCAGGTAGGAACTCCTGCTGTGCCCATGAAAGTGCATGCTAGGGGCCTTCCAGAGAGTAAGGCTGCCTCCCCCAATCACACGCGCGCACGCACACACGCGCGCACACACACACACACACCATGCTATGCTGCAGGTAGCAAAGCCAGGGGACAGCAGCTTCTGTTCCTGCCATCAGTCATGGATGGCACTTTCTTACCCCTCTACAGGACATCCTTGTGCCCTGAGAGCCTTGATGACTTGCCATATGTCCCTACATGAGAGGCTCCAACTGCCACTAGGACCAGGAAGCAATGACAATATGTTGATGTGGTTCAGTGACCCACAGGCTATGGGACTTCTAAGCCACCTTCTCTACCAGAGCATGTCAGGAGAGTGTAGCATGAGGACCATGCTTGTCTGGGTTTCTGTCCTGCCCAGTTCCCACAGCCAGTAAGCCACCAAAGAAAAATCACATAGAGAGTCTATATTAGTGATAAACTGATTGGCCCATTAGCTCAGGCTTTGTATTAGCTCTTACAACTTATATTAACCCATTATCCTGATCTATGTTAGCCACATGGCTTGGTACCTTTTGCAGCAGGGTAGATCACATCTTGCTTCTTCCGTGATCTGGGCAGGACTGGGGGTAGAGCTTCCTTCTTCCCAGAATACTCCTGTTCTCATCACCCTGCCTCTACTTCCTGTCTAGTTGACCTGCCTATACTTCTTGCCTGGCCAATCAGCATTTATTTAAAACATGATTGACAGAATACAGACAATTCTCCCACACCACTTCCCCCTCTTTTTTTTTTTTTTTAAAGCAAGCCCTCCATGTTACAGGAGAGAGTTGCCAATACTAAGGAGCTGGGAGCAGGAGAGGCAATGAAGTTCAAAGGTCAGGCAGTGTTTTGCTGACACCAGAGCAGATGGGTTGCAAGAAGTTAAGACTTGGTCATCATACAAACATCACCTAAGTAACCCATGAGTTAAACTCTGTACAAAAAAATTAAACCCATTTCAAGCTGCCAGGCTTATAGTATCAACTCAGCTATCCCTCCTGGAGACCAGGCCCTCCCCAAAATCCATGTCTACCATTCTACCATAGCAAATAAATTCCTGGTAGCCATGAAGGGCAAGGTCAATCTCACAGGTTCTCAGATCCTTTTATCTATGCTTGTCCACTCTGTCAAAGAGTCGTGCCCTTGCTGGGACAAATCCACTTCTTTCGCTCAAGAGGAAGACACAGTTTTTTGTTTACTTACTTAGTAATTACACCAATGGGCCCAACCCACCAAGCAAGCACTCAGAAGTGTACTTTTCCATAGTAGAATTATAAACTAACAGGAACATTATTTTTATCTGTCATTCTTACACTAGACAAGGGGGTGTCTCCATGGGGTACATCACACCCTATTCTTCTTTGGACCAACTCTTTTCTGTGGGTGCACACACAACATTCCCCCTCCATCCCTCAGAGATGTAAGGAGGGAGGGATCAGCACGACTTTCACCCAACACATTTAGTAGCATAGCAAACAGATCTTCCCCAGGGGGGAAACACAATCTTTTATTTCCATCAAAGCATTCACGAAGGTGGGAAAAATGGTGCAAATATTATTCTAGCAGAGCAGTAATAGCTTTTTTGCAAGTATAAATACAATCCTCACAATGAAATATAACATCTCTATGGGCTGTGCTGTTGTTTACTAGAAGCTGTATCTATTTTCCTTCC